GATGTTGGTTTATCATATTTCTAATAGAGTTAAAACAAATTCCGAAACGCCAGAGGCAGCTGCCATGCAATGTTACTTTGGTATGCTAGTATAATCCAAACGATCACAATATGCAAGGATATCTCAACAAATGTCCGTCCGGGAAATATCCCGATACAGAAATCACAAATCATGTCGCAGTCTTCGATCCTCATCCCAGATTTCCTTCTTCATCAGCTGGAGTTGGGCATGGAACTTTTCAAGCCGATCCATTTCCGCGCGCGGGGGGTCCGGATGGCTAGCCATGGCGTCGTGCAGGGCTCGGTACTTCGCGTAGCGTTGCTTGAACCGCCGGGATTTCTCCCGCAGCTGCTGGAGCAAGATTTCCCGACTGAGCGGGGGTGAGGCACTCCCCGTGGTGCTGCCACTGGAGGTGCTCACCGCGCGTCGTCGTTTGTGCTCCAAGTCTCCCGTCGTGCGACCTTGCGCGGGCGTGGTCGATGGGCGATCCAACTCCGCCTTTCGCTTTAGCGGGTTGACGGCGGACGGCGGCCTGATGACGCCGTTGGTTCTGGGTTTAGCCGGGTCGGTAGTATCCGTAATTGGTTTCTTCGGTCGAGAGAGTTGCGTAATCAGAGGGGAGGAGGACGAGCTGGACGCGGAGTTGTTTTGGCTGGAAGAACGGCTGCGGCTCTGTATGTCCGATGCGTTGGTCGGGGGTGATGAGCCCAGAGGCGATGGCTTCTGAGGCGACTTCTGGGCGGGCGGCCGCGAGGATGGAAGGCGTTTGGTCGCGGGGGACTTGGCGGCAGTCTTGGAGGGTGATTCAGCTTTGGGTGGTGCACGCTCGGGCGGGTCGACTCGCGGCGTTGGTACATGGAACGGCTCACGCGTGACGGTCGGCTTCGTCTGCTTGACAGGAGCCTTGGGCTGTGGTTTGGGTTTCTCTGGTGCGGGTTGCTCCGAGGCTGAAGCATCGGCCATGTCCGTGTCATCCTCGTCGGAATCATGTACAAATTCGGCGGATTTGAACTTCCCATCGGGCTTGGACGTCGCCTTCCGATCTCGGTTCTTCAGGACCCGACCCGTCAGGGTACTGTTTGTTGGGTTCTTCTTGGCCGTAGTACTCTTTGCGGGGGCTTTCTTGTCGGCGGGTTTCTTTTGCGTCATGGGGGCAGATCTGGGGGTCGGGGTCACACGGCCATTCCCGCTGGCTTTGTCGGTCGCCGGACCGGTAGTATCCCCCTTCTTTGCCATCTTCTTCGACTTGGATGCGAGGAGTGAGAGCCTTCTTGACTGTGCCCCGTCCGAGAATCGGGGCGGGGACAAGCACTTTCCCTTTTCGCCCGTTTCCTCCCTTTGCGGAGCATCATCTGCGAGAGGAGGTGGGAGGCGGGAG